GGCTCCCCCAGCCCTCCCTCCCCTCACAGGAGAAAAAAAAGGGGGGGGGGGCTCTGGCAGCAGGCAGTGTGACAGACGACTCGGGCTCAGGGCCTTACATCATCGCTGACCTCCCTAGGGCCTTTTCTCTGCCACTTGTACTCAGCCACAATTCCCGCTTCTTCACTTGCAAAGAGATCCTGATAAGAAAGACGGGTGAAGGACCACAGAGCTGGTGGGGCTTTTATAAGGCGCAGGACACCCTGCACAGACACAAGGAGCTGCTGCTCTGCTCTGCTCTGGCCTGCGCCGCTCACACTCTCATCATTGTCGTCGTCGTCGTCGTCGTTGTTGTTGTTGTTGTTGTTGTGGTTGAAATCAGGTTTGCTGCCCCCTTATGGCAGTGAGGGGAAAGAGCGTCTTTAGGTTTTCTCCTGTTTACTTGCTTTATTGCAAAGGCTGTCTATCAGAGCAGGGCTTTTTTTCCCAATCACTACATTTATAATACCTGCCGTCTTTAATTAGATGCACCGATAGATGCTCAGGATAGATTCAGCTTCCTTAGAGGCCTCTTTGTGTAGCGAGTAGCAGCATTAGCCGTGTCCGCGTGATGGGTTTGGGTCCAGAACTAGGACCTTTTGGGAGGTCGGCATTTCGGAGCATGTATAAACAAGTAAAAGTTTCTTACGTGAAATCAAAGCGCGGTTTATTTTGAGGAAGACCCTCCCCCCCCCCCCCCCCCCCCCCCCCCCCAGAATAGCAGGCAGATCATTACCATGCGTTGGGGATAATGTGCCTGTACTCGGCTGGGTAACCTCCTTCCTCGCGGTGCCGCTCGCCCTACTTCTCTCCGGAATCCGCCTCTCGGATTCCCTCTCTCCTCCCGTCCCCTCGTCCTGGAGCACGTCTCCCGCGACCTCGCCGGCTCTCCTATAAACTTTTCCCGTTACTGTCGGTGGGGTCGTGTCAAAGGTCAGAGGTCACCTGCATGAATGTGGTCTGCAGTTATTTGCATTCCTACTGGGGATTTTATGTTGTGGATTTTATGGGGGGGTGGGGGGGTGCAGGGGCAATTTAACCCTGATGTACCTGCTGATGGACTGGATTGGCCACCTGGGTGCACAATGCTAGCAGAACAGCAGTTAAAATTTGGACAGTGTTCCCTTTCCTCCCAGTGCAGCGTGAATTGGAATCCAGTGCATTGGGGGAGATTGGTGCAATTCTTTAGAAATATGAAATTTTAAATTAAAAAAAAAAAAAAAAGCAGGATGCATCTGTGGTGGATCGTGGAGAATTTGTGGTTGAGTCAGAGAGAGAGACTAACAAATAGTGTAACTCGTACAGGTGTGATGTGACCCTGATTCTGTGTCTGTGCGTGTCCGTGTGCACACGCGTGTCGTCCTGCTCCCAGTCCAGTGAATTGGACCACATTCTGGACGACTTGCAGAACCAGCACCCGCTGTTCCCTGAGAGTCGGCCCATGTCGCTTCCCGCTGCCATGGACAAGCAGTCCATCATTAACGACATCCTGCAGATCACCGGCGAGGGTGGCCCCAGTCCGGGTCCTGCCCCCATCCCCGGGGGCCCCATGGCACCGCAGAAGGCCTTCCCTGGCATGGCCCAGAGCAGTGAGTACGGCGCCCCCTCTGCCTCTGTCCGCCACGCCGACGCCACCGCTGACGGCCCCCCCACTCCTGCCACCCCCTAGGTTTTGGGGCTCCCAGACCGGGCCCACCGGGGAGGGGCCCACCGGCACGCAGCGTCTCCCTGGACGTGAACATGGGGCCGCAGAACTCCCAGGGGCCCTTCCCTACCGTGAGGAGCAGCAGCATGCAGCAGGTCATGCAGCAGGTCATGATGGGGAACCAGGCAGGCATGGTCAGCGCAGGTGAGAGCCCAGGGAGCTCGGTTGGGGGGGGGGGAGACAAGGGCGAGCTAATAAGGGCAATGCTCCTGCTCACCTGAGTCTGTGTCGCCCTGAGTCTGTGTCGCCCTGAGTCTGTGTCGCCCTGAGGCCGCGTCATGCTGCGCGTAACAGCAGCAGGGCTTCCCTGTCACACTAGGGGCCTCAGAATGAGTCTGGGGTGGGATTTTTTTTCTTCAGGGGGTGGGGCAGGAATGGCAGTATGCGGTGCAGATTACCGGTAGGGGCTCAGACTCCTGCTGGAAGACTGAAGGGTTTCCCCTGTTTGATGTCAGTGTGACGAAAACCGCGGCCGGAAAATTCCCGTGTCGCCCTCCTTCCACTGTGCGCCCGCCCCCGCGTTGCGTGGAGGTGGTACTGCGCGGCTGGTAGCTGGCATGCGGGCGTGCCGAGTGACGCACTTCCTAAGGAAGGAAGTGGGGGGTGACCTGCGTCACCCCAGGGGGTCCCTTAGCATTCTGCGGTGCTCTGCCTCCCGGGGAGTACGCAACTCATCTCTCTCTCTCTCTCATCCCTCCCCCTGAACCCCACACAGGAATGCTTGGTGCTAACCCCCCTAGAGGCAGCATGCCGGGAGAGGCCTGGGGCCCCCAGGGGCCCGCTGTGAGCAACTCCATGAGCAACTCCATGAGCCAGCCCCTGCAGCAGGGAGTGGGGCCCGCTCGCATGCCCCCCAACTCCGCCGCCGGCATCCCCATGCGGCCCAGCAGCCAGCCCCCACCCCGGCAGATGCTTCAGCCGCAGATGATGGCCGCTGGTGAGTCTCCTCTAGCCAGTTTTTTGGCCGGGTTCCTTCATGGGTGCTGTTGTGGGACTCCAGCTTGTCCTTGAGTTTCAAGCTTGCCGATAACCTCTCCTCGCTGATTCCCGAACCAGCACAACCGGACCTGGACCTGGGTATGCCAGGAGGCCAGTTCTCACAGCAGCAGGCCCCATCCAATCAGACGGCCCCATGGCCTGACAGCATGCTGCACATGGAGCAGGGGCCCTATGGCGGCCAGAACAGGTATGCATGGTGATGCACGTCTCTGATGATACTGCTCAATGTCCCGGGCTCTGATAGGCTGGGATAGCTCTGCTATCATGTGTCACCCCCCAGAATAAGGGCGGCTGAGGTTGAAGCATGCTAACCTGTGTTTGTCCATCCCCAGACCTGCATACGGTGGCCCCCAGGAGGAGGCGCTGTGCCCACCCCCACCAGCAGAGGGCCCCACCGACGAGGGGAACCTACTGAACCAGCTGTACAGTGCACTGAAGGACTTTGATGGCCTGGAGGAGATCGACCGTGCTCTGGGCATCCCTGCTCTGGTCAGCCAGGTAACACCGCTTCTGCGTCCTGCCTTTGGGACAGGCTCCATACCCAGTGCCGCCTGGTTCTGACAGTGCCGTGATTCTGCGAATCCCACCAGCAGGGCCAGGCGGTGGAACCGGACCACTTCCAGGCGCAGGATCCTGGGCTGATGATGGAGCAGAAGCCCCCCGTGTACGGGCAGCAGTACACCCCAGCCGGTCACATGACGCAGGGTGGCTACCCCATGCCGGACCCCAGCTTCCACCCCATGGGCCAGATGGGGCAGCGGCCCAGTTACTCCGTGATGCGCATCCCGACCCGGCCGGCTCTGCGGGCCGCCCCCGGAGTGCCCAGCCCGCCCAACGCGCTGAGACTGCAGCTGCAGCACCGGCTCCAGGCCCAGCAGGTACTGCGTCCCACCTCCTCCCCCCCCAGACCCGCTCAGGAGTCTCACTCATCATTCAGCCCCCCCAGCACGTCCTACAAAGCAGCTGTCAGCCGTCGTCAGGAGCAGTGCAGCAGTGTCATATACACTGAAGTTTGCATGCGTCTGTCGTAACCCAGGGAAACGATGGTGCGGGGGTGTGTCACTGATGCCTTTCTCCATGTGTTTACACTTCAGTCCCTCTGGTTAAATCTCATCAGCCAATATGTTTGAGAAGTTGTGTATTAAAACTACACAGAAAAAGTTAAGCACCCAGACGGAGTGGTGGAAATTAAATTATGGGCACACTGCTGGTCCCATGTCAGTAGGGTGTGGCCCGACCCCCCCGGGTCTGGATATATGCGGCGATACAGTATGGACGGGAGTCGTATTGCCGTTGTATCCTCTCCTGTGGCCCACAGCTGTTGTAACTGGCCCTCGAGATCCTGCAGATTGGCACTGGGTTTGCGTTGATGTCCAAGTTGATCCCACACATGATGTTCAATTGGGGAAAGATCGGGGGACCTGGCTGGCCATGCGAGGACCTCAGCATGACGCAGACAGTCCATAGACACACGCGCCGTGTGGGGACGGGTGTTGTCTTGTTGACAGGCAGTACCAGGGCGCTGTCCCAGGAGGGGTAAGACATGCGGACGCAGGATGTCACTGACGTAGCGTTGTGCCGTCAGGGTCCCCAAATACCAGAGATGACCTGAAGTCACACCCTATGGCTCCCCACACCATGATGCCAGGAGTAACACCGGTGTGTCTCTCCACAACACTGGCAGGACTGGTCCTCTCCCCTCAGCGCCGCCATACATGCACACGGCAGTCATCTGCGGTAATGCAGAACCGAGGTTCATCACATGGTACGACGTCACTCGTCATCAGTCCATGCCTCCTGGTTACAGCACCACTCCAAACACAGCTGTCTCTGCGCCCATGTCAACGGCAGCCTACGCATGGGACGGCGAACCCGTAGTCCGGCTGATGCCAGCCGTCGAGACACGGTGCAGGATGCCATGGGGTGCTGTAGAGAGTCCAATACCTGTGTCTGGATGGCAGGCAAGGTTCTGTAATGCTTGTGATACGACGATCCTCCTTTGGTGTGGTCTGTCTTGGGGGACTGGAACCTTCTCGACGTGTGTGGGTGCCCTCACTTGCCCATTGGTTCCAACATCGGGCAACTGTGACATCTGCATTCCCCACATGCTGGGCAATTGCACGATACGACCACCTGGCCTCATGCAAACCCACAATGAGACCCCTATCAAACTCCGTCAAGTGCTGGTAATGCTGTCTATTGCGTCTATGAGGCATCCTCTGTGTCTGGTGACTAGACGTGCCAGTTCCTTGCAAATCGAATAATTTACATGCCCATCGCTGGTCTGCACATATGCCAAATTACATCCAAATCGGACCATTACTTCTGGGTGCTTAACTTTTTTTGGTCACTGAGTATATTTAGCGATAAACAGAAATCTTACTCGAAAGAAGATGATTTACACCTTTCTCTGAAGGACAGTCTGTCTGATATCAGCGGTACAGCTGTGGGTTCGTACTGTTTATTGAGGTGACATCGCTGGGTAAGGTAACATCTAAAGATGGCTGTCTCACTCTGGAAACATCTGCTTTGGGTCTCTGTCATCTTGTTTTGTGACCCATCGAGTTTGTTTTGCTCCAGCAAGCTGCCCCCTGCTGGACAGAAGAGGCAGTGAGCACTTTTATCTGCAAACATGTGCTGTGTTTTTCTCTCTTGGACACATTGTGTGGATGTGGGTTTGCCATATGCCAGTGTGAAGGTTTTTTCTACTTCCTCATTAATATCATTTATCAATGTTTGCGTTTGAAAACTGCTCTCCCCAGAACCGGCAGCCCATGATGAATCCCATGCAAGGCATGTCCAACCTGCCCCTTCCTCTTCGAGCCAGCATGCCCCAGCAGGTATGTGGCCCTGTTGCCCTCCACAATACCGGCCTCGTTGTCGTGTGGTGTGTCGGCGTACAACAACAGTGAAATATGAGCTAGTCTAGATTTGTGTCTGTATCCTTTATCTAGTGTCTTTTTTAATTTGAGACACCCAACAGCTGCTTAGCTACAACTGGGGGCCTCTGTTGTTCCCAGTGAAACCTGTCAGCACCGTGTTAAAGGAGACCAGCTTCTAGCTAATACGGCGCCCCCAGCTGGCCCCGCAGGATCGGTGGCAGGCATGTGATTCGTGCTCTGCTCAGGGCCATGCCTGGTTCCCTGGCATGTTCTCTTGTTTGCCGCAGTGCCACCAGCTTCTGGCATGGACAGTTGACTCCGAGTTCCAGGTTTGAGTTAAGTCATGTTGGACCTGGACATATAGGTTGTACCCTTGGAGAGTCCCCACCAGGTCAGTGATTAGAGGGTGACCCAGACTTGTCACAGAAAACGCGTCTCAGGATACGATATATGCCTCCCATGCACTCTGGAGCAGTGATTGGGGCTCTGATCGGCCAATGACATTTCTCAGATTCGAACCAGCAAATGACACGTCCCGAGCTCTAACTGGCCAATGACACGTCCCGAGCTCTAACTGGCCAATGACACGTCCCGAGCTCTAACTGGCCAATGACACGTCCCAAGCTCTAACTGGCCAGTGATGCGTTATTGCTGGATCTCCCGGATTTTGGGGTCTCTGGCTTTCATCTGTGAGTTGTTAGATTCCACGGCCCTGCTACTGTCTCACAAATACTTTCAGGTCCATTTAGGAATCCTTAAAGATTCTGAACAAACGACTCACTGAAATAGCTGATCTCTGAAGGCCTTGCTCACCTGTCTGTCGGCTGCTGCTGGTGACTGCGTCTGGCGTCGTTTCTGCATATCTGTATGCATCCGATGTTCACTGCCCTCCAAACTGGGGCGGCTTTAATTATAGCACCGCTGCTGAATGTAGGACAAACAGCTTTTAAATCATTCATGAATCTCAAGGAGACAAACTTTGTAGTGAAGTCAGACTGGAGGGGTTTCCGTGGCGACGCGGGGGCGCGGCCCGGCCTGGCTGACCGCCGTGTGTCTGTGTGTCTCTGCGTGTGTCCTGCGCCATCACATCCCAGGGGCCCATCAACGCCCAGATGCAGGCCCAGCGCCAGCGGGAGAACCTGAGCAACCTGCTCCGCCAGCGGCAGCAGCAACAGCAGCAGCAGCAGCGCCATATGCTCCTGCGGGCCCCGGGCCTCGGCATGGCCCCCACCGGGGCTGCCACCTCCCCCGCCATGCAGGGCACCATCAGCAACCCACGCATCCCCCAGGCCAACCCCCAGCAGTTCCCCTTCCCGCCAAGCTACGGTACCGGTGATCCCGCCTCCCTTCCAGCCTTAGCATGCCTCTGATTGGCCAGTGACACGTTTCTTCCAGCTCTAACCGCCCAATGACATATTGTCCCAGGCTCTAATTACAATCATGCTGTCCCAGAGATAAACTGCCTAATAGCACATTGTTTCGCACTTTTAACAGCAATGACACGTAGTCTCGATCTCTAACCTGCCAATGACACGCCATACCAGGCTCTGATCAGCCAATGACATGCCAACCCGTGGTCTAACTGGCCAATAACACACCATACCAGGCTCTGACCGGCCAATGACACGTTGTCCCAGGTTTTAACCACCCAATGGCACACCCTTCCAAGCTCTAACCACCATGGTGGTTTGTCCAACAGTAGGTTGCACCAACTAAGCATGAGTTTAATTGTACCCTACGTTGGACGTAAACTGCCCCTACATTCCAGTTTGCAAGCTGCAAAAAAATAATCTGTTGCATCACACAAATTGTTTCAGCATAACACTAAGTTATAGATTTTACACCTCCTTATCATTAGATGTAAAATCCTTTGTGTAAAAAATAAATAAAAAAATTCTAAATTGTTAGCTAACCTAACAAACCTTTTTTCTTTTTAACATGCTATAATATAACTTTATCAGAGAGAATTACCACTGATTTAAGATAAAACAAGGTTGCAGGCTTGATGTCGTTCAGCTAATGCTAGCTGGCAAGCTAGAACAATTTGTTTTTTGTTTCATCTGAACCATCTTTGTATTCCTTGAGCTAGACCATCTCATGTAACAGAGCGACTGTCAAGCACCTCCAATAAATGCCTATGTCACTTTGCCACTACAAAATGACCTCAAACTTGATAAACATACCAGTGGTGTAACAGACTAGCAGGGTCACCAGTTTTCGTGCATCTGGCGTGACCCTCACGCTTTCAGACGCTCACGCAAGAAATCTTACAGCAAATCTATATTGTTCCATTATAAACCTAAAATCGGCTACATCTAAAGCGTTGGGGTCATTTGCAAACCCAGCAGACTATTTACAAGGTAATAAAACTCTTACATACATGTAAATGCATGTGCATGTGTGTGCAGACTTATTTTGAACTGAAAATCTCACACCAGCCCAGCTGACCAAAGCTGGCATCCCTGCCGAAGTTGGTCTGTGATCCATACGGATCCCTGTTCCCCCTACAATTGAACCACGGATTAACTGCAAAGTTTAACCATGATAGTGTGAAATAGTTTTACTGCAGCTGTCACTTAGTAAAGTTAAAAATGAAATAATTCCTGAAAATGACAGAGAATTCCCCCCTTATGTGTAGAACATGGGGGGGGGGAGGTGATATTTTCAATGGGAATGCAATAATAAAACAAAAAAAAAATATCTGCACAGATCCAGTAGCATTGACCATGGCATTTTCACTGCAGTCCTCTTCCCTTCTCATGACAAATACTGTGACACTTTTGTTTTCCCGGGAACTTTTTATTTTGTGAAATAAAAGCAACTTTTGTTTGTGACAACAACTTTGGCTATGTTGAGATCGGGAGAATAAGTTATGATCTCAACATAAGAGAGAAAAAGGTAATGATGGATGCCCTCTACGGTCTTCCATCCGAGGCAGATTTTCAGTAAAGGATACAGACAAAGCAATCGTGTGTTCACGAGAACGGGACGTTAAAAGCTCCTTGCTTTGAGTTTCCTTCAGTTCTTTAACTAATAAATGGAAAGCAAAGTTAAATTTGTCGCATTTTTTGCTGATATGAAATATGATCCTATCCGTGACTCATATACCGTGATTGTGAGTTTTGTGATCCGTTGCACCCCTAAACCGTACCTAACAAACCGTACCTAACAAACCGTACCTAACAAACCGTACCTAACAAACCGTACCTTAGAAACACACGCCTTGTGGTGGTTCCAGTACAGCTGTGGCCAAAATACTTTTCACAAATACAGAAAAAATACATCGGTAGCTAAATATAACCAAAACTCAACAGACATGTTCCGGAAAGACCAGACAGTGATATTGGTTGGTTGTCCACGATGAAAATGTCATTCTGTTCAACAGTATTTTTTAGTAGCTCCTAACTACATTGTAAACTCACAAAGAACGTTGTGCTAGTTTAAAACAACCTAGTTTCAACGTATGACTTAAGGTACCCTTTTTACACCAAACTTTACAATCACTCACACTTAGCTAGTGCAACCCACAGCAATGACACGCCATCCCGGGCTCTGACCGGCCAATGACACGCCGTCCCGGGCTCTGACCGACCAATGACACGCCGTCCCGGGCTCTGACCGGCCAATGACACGCCGTCCCGGGCTCTGACCGGCCAATGACACGCCGTCCCGGGCTCTGACCGGCCAATGACATGCCATCCTCGGCTCTGACCGGCCAATGACACGTTGTCCCTCGCTCTAACTACCCAATCGCTTGCTGTCCCGGGCTCAGCCACCAATGACACGTTATCCCGGGTTCATAGTAGACAATTATTTACATTTACATTTACAGCGTTTGGCAGACGCCCTTAGCCAGAGCAACTTACATAAGTGCTTTAAGACTCTACAATGAATTTTTCCCGATACTAGCTCAATAAAACCAAGGCTATGAATACCATCGATCTAATACTCTGTTGGGAAAGTGTGTTTTTTTTTTTTTTTTTTTTTATAAAACATTATGCATTGTCCCGGGCTCTAACCAGCCAATGGCACATTGCTCCGGTTCTAACCACCCAATGATAATGTGTCCCGGGCTCTAACCAGCCAATGGCACATTGCTCCGGTTCTAACCACCCAATGATAATGTGTCCCGGGCTCTAACCAGCCAATAACACATTGCTGCAGGCTCTCCAGGGTTTGCAGTTCCCCTGGGGCCTATATCACAAAGCAGGATTTCTTGCATTGTCAAATAACTTGTTCAGTTTAAGTTTGTCTGGGCTAAATGTAAGTGAATGAAGATATAATCAATTGGGGTTCCTTAAATCTGACAGGTTATCTAGCTCACCAAGAAG